ACAAAAGAGAAATTAAATTTCCTTACTACTTACAGCCCATTGACAAGTTCTTGAAACAGGCAGAGTGACATTCATTCCTCTAGGAACTCAGCTGCCTTGAGGTTAGTGCTTTGCTAAGGGCAAAAGGCAATCTTAGCCTGACTCCCGGGATCCTGTAAGTCTACTTTAACGTGTAAAAATTCTTTGGAAACTTCTTTATTGCTACTCCTCACTGATCGATTCAGTGAGTCCATCTTAGGCATCCTAAGTATACATTACAATAAACTATCCATTTGTGCATTTAAGTTAGCCAAAGACTTTGGCTAAGGATCTTTTCATTAGAAAAATAAAGATGGCTTTGTAATCGAGGTCACCTTGTGTTTGGGCATAAGCACTTTTTATTAATGTGATGATCTGTTTAATAACAATCTCCCTAACTACACAGTAAGAGCCACCAGAGCACAGCTCCACTCCTCCTGCAACATCTCTGGCATTTTTCAGGTACAGAACATTGAATACATGAGTTTGAGACATAAGGTTAATTAGTTACATAATTGCGTGGCATGGACAGCACTGAAGAAACTAAAACAAATATTCACATAAAGCATCTTAATGAAAGATAAGATGTTTTAATAACTTTTTGTCATTAACCAAGATGAGAATTTCCTTTATTCTTTAAAAATGTAAAAACCCTATTTCTTGTCTTTTTCGAAATTCAGTGGTTCACATTTATACCATGATAATTCCGAGGACTGTATTCATTAGTTCACTCACTGGGATATTCCAAATTCAAAAAAAGTTATTTCCATCAAAGTTAGACATAATGATGAACGGTATTAAAAGAACTACTACTTATTAGCACTTACACACATTATTTCCATTAATCCTACAATGATCTTATGAATTAGCTCTTATCCTCATTTAACAAATAGGGGAAATTGAGGCCTGGCAAGCCTAATAGTCAACATTGGCCACTGGTCAGATACTGTAATAAGAGCCTTATATGCACTGTCTCACTCAATTCCCATACAGTTTCATGACTATTACTATCTCTATTTTACATAGGAGAGGACAGAGGCAAGGAGTGGGTAAGACAAAAACCGAGAGAGTTCCAGGATGTGAGTCCAGGCAGCCTGCCCCAGAATCTCCCTGGATAACCACGACACTGCGGTGCATGGTGAAGATGGGAGGAGCCAGTGGGAACTTTGAGAAAGGATTTATTCTGGGTTGTGGGGTATGTGCTATGAAGGGAGGTTATTTCTATCTTTCTTTCTTTGCCTTCTCAGTTGTTTTCCCCCTGCACTCCCGAGTAAACTGGTCACTGTTTTAGTAGCTTTCTGTTCATTTTCTTAACATCTATTCATTGAATCTCTAAAGGAAACATTTAGCTACTGCAGTTGGTGTACATAAGTTGGTTGCATAATAGGAAGGAAACAAGCCAGGACTGGAGACTTCATTTCTAAAGAAGGATTTTAGAGCAGACTAAGAGTTATTTCACAGAGTGGGTCATGAAACTCGAGTCTCTCTATACCCTTTCATTGCTATGACGACAGGCTGCTCCTGCTACATGTAGCCAGAAAAAGCAGCTGACATTTCAATGCCAGGAGAGTAGGGGAGAGGGTTACAAAAACAAAAAACAAAGCCCAAACCCTTTCATTTGAATTTCAGTTAGAAAGGAAAAAAATACTCCCGAAGCAAGTCAAAACCCCTATTCTTGCCTTTAGAAAAGATAAGAAAGGAGAAATGCTGGGGACCTTCTCCCCTGTCCAACTAGGCCAATAAAACAGAATTGACTGCAAAGCAGCATTTCGTCTCTCTCTCTTAATGGCAATCCGAGACAGAAAACTCCCTTTGGTTTCATCTGACTTGGCCATTAAGAGGCAACTAATTGATGAAGGAGTAAAAGACTCACAGTAATAAATACCTCATGTTGAGGCCCCCTGGGGAGTAGAGTAGAGTCAGATTTATTTTTCCACTTCTTTGGATAAAAAAAGACAATTCAAAGAATATTTACTCCTGATCCCCAAATTTGTTACCAGAAAATTAATTTCCAGTGCATAACCAAATACTTTCTCATGGCATGCCACTCTGTCAGATGCTATACTTGGTATTCAAAAAACATCTCATGTGGGCACCGGGGTGGCTCAGTGGTTAAGCATCTGCCTTTGGCTCAGGTCATGATTACGGGATCCTGGGATCAAGTCCCGCATCAGGCTCCCCACAGGACCTGTTTCTCCCTCTGCCTATGTCTCTGCCTCTCTCTGTGTGTCTCTCACAAACAAACAAACAAATAAATAAATACCAAAAACCATCTCATATAATTCCACCGACAGCCACATCTGTGGGTATTATTACCACTACTTGCTTAATAGATGGATAAACTAAGGCCTTGAGGGAAAAACTACAGCGAATTCCCTTCTTACAGAGTTCTAGTTGGGACATATCAGTAGGGTAGTGTTTTCATATTAGCTGTGATTGATTGATTGATTACTTCATATGCACCAGGGATAGCTGTTTTCTTGACTTAATATCACCACAAATTTCTGAGGTGGCACCTAATTTTATGATTCTCATTTCTACAACTGAGGCTCAAAGAGTCATTTGCCCAAAGTCACAGAGCCTGGTAAAGTCCAGATATAAACCAGGTCTGGATGTTTCCAGAGCTCATGATCTCACTCACTTTCTTACACCATCTCCTTACAATCAAGACCACATGCTCTGTTCTGTCCATATTCTGATACCCAAGACAAAAACCAGGCTGGCCCCAGCTGGCACTAGCACAGCAAGCTCAGCCTTTGGTGGAAGAGGCCCTGTGGGTCATATGAACGAGACCCCAGTTTCTCTGGGCATCTCTTGGACTGCCAAGCCTACTGGGGAAGTTCTCTTGGGTTTATGGGCCCCCTTCTCCTTCACTGAAAGTTGTTCCAGAAGGATATGTGAGGGGAAAAGGGCACCTGAAATCTTTCAACAGTAGTTGTTTTTGTACCTCTTGGTGGAAAAAAGATCCCTAACATGTTCTGGACGTTGTGCTAAACTTAACTAAAACAGCAATGCTGATCTACGGTTACAAATTAATGGAATAAAAATGACAAGCTGTCAAAAGGAAATGAAATGAATAATGGTTGGGCATTGTCTAGATACATGGCCTTTCACTTCCTTTCTGTCATCATCTTTAATTTTTATGTAGTTGATAAGTGGAGCTGCCCATGGGAAAGTATTGGGAATTGAATCCCAAAAGACCTGGAAAGGAAGCCTCAGTAATTTCTGAATGGCTGTACAGAAATTCCATAAAAGAAAAAAAAAGCATGATTCATTAATAACATGTACATATTCTTTTCAAAACTGTGGAAAGCAGCATTAGTTGACTGGATGATAACTGGATGAAACAGACTGTACTGCTTTGCTAGATATTGTTGAATGAACAGAAATAAAAACTTAAATCTTTCCTAAGAGGGGTGCCCTTTTCTTTTAAATAGTCATAGTTAACAATAGTCATTACCATCAAAGTTTCGGTGAATAAGCTCTGAACTGAAAAAAAGTTGGTATCCTAGAGAAAGGGGGGGATTTTTAAAAGATTTCTGCTTAGTTGGATTGAAGGAACATTTCTATTCAGTGTACTTAGGCCATGGGCCAGGGAAAAGCTCAGATACAATGCCAAGGTGACATACTTAACCTCTTTGTAGATTGAAGGCAGTGAAAAAGAGATACTCTTTCCGCAATACTTCTTGGTTAGAGTATTAACAGCATCAGTCTGCAGCTGAAAGCATGGTTTTCTCCTGCAGGGGGACCTCTAATATCTAGGAGGAATGAGTGAGCATGACTTGCATTATTGTTTTATTCTGGTAGAAACAGAAATGATAGTACCTTACAGTATAGGAGTTGTTATAATCTCCTTAGCTCTTTAGTTTCTCTGTCTCCCCTTTCCCTCCCCAAATAAGACATCATTAGGAATTAGAGAAATTTTCTGCATGTGCATCTTAAGAAATGGTAGAAGGAGACAACAGACAATTAGTAATAAAAGTACAAAAGGGAGTTAGGAAAGGAATAATGGTTATAATAACTAAAACATAATCAAAGATTATAGTAGTATAATTTTCCTAATCTTTTGGAAAAGCAAAATGTTCCACTTCTACATTGCTGTTAGGTACAGACTAGGACAATGATGGTGATAAGATAATTTTAGGTAATTTAAACACGGAAAACACTTTGATTTGAAAATTTATTTTTTTAAAACCTATTTCCCTTATGATTTAATATATTTAGTTAAATATTTCTATAAAACCCATTCTGGATTCAGACTTCACCAAGATCTGAATGCTAATCAGGCTGACAACAGTTCTACATTTGTGTTCGTGCTCTACATTAAAAACCATCATTTATTACTACTTACTATTTCATCTTGGAAAAGAAAAGGAAACATGAATATGACGGTTAAACTTTCCTATTAAGTAGCTTTTCTGTAAATCACACAAAAGGTTTGTGGTGGTTTTTTTTTATTTTTTATTTTTTTTGGTAAATAAATGGCTTTGTACTAGGAAAAAAAAATATTAGACATCTTCATCAGATCATGCAAATTAGCATAACAAATGCAATTAGATAATACAGTAAATGTATTAAAATTTACCTTCAGGTATGTGACTGGACTCAGAGCCTTGATACAAAATTGGAGTTGGATCCCCTCTTTGCCCACAGCCAGGAAATAAAAGTTTGGTAAATACTCAATACTCTTTTAAAAAAATCTCTTCCCTCTTTAGCTCTGCTTCTCTGCCCAGAAACACATTCGAGTCTGTTGGAGTTGAAATTCTGCTGCTCTGTCAACTAGTCAGGGTCTGAGGTGACAGACAAATGTGGAGGTTGGCACCGGGGTGTATTTCAGGCTGTCATCGTTTTTGTTGCAGATTCCTGCAGTTCTCCAGCAGGCTGGCCTCTCGGAGGGCGCGAGATGCTTTCCAGGCAGCGCAAGCCAACAGGGAAAGAGCTCATTCTGCCTGAGACGATGGAGTTAACAGTCCTCTCCTCTAGCTCTTGTTCTCAGAGGCTAATAACTTGGCCAGAACATAAGCACGTGGTTCTTTATGCATTTTTTTCCCTTTTTCAAACAACTCTAAAGCAAGCAGGATCCCTTTTTTGGGGGTTTTTATTTTAAGGCTCTGAAAAGAAACTCCAGTGTTGTTTCTTATTAAAGGAAATTGGGAAGTGGGGGTGAAGGAAGGGGAAAAGAATAATTGCAGCAGACGCATTTTTACTTGCTTAATTGGAAATTGTTCTTGTGAGTACAGTCTCAATTTTAGTAAATTGAGTAGTAAGGGCGGGGTACCTCAGATACTTTAAACATTCCTTAAATGACCTTCAGAAACTTATGTATATATGAAGCATCACTCATTCATACTATAGATCCCTCGGATGCCGATGTAGAAATGTTGCAGTTCACAGACTATTATTCTCCCATCACAACTCCTTAACTGAACCCCCTGTATAACCTGGTCTATGAGAAGAAGTTTTCTTATGAAACACACTGGTGTTACGCGTTTATTTTTGACTTGGCATTCTGGTTATTTATATATGTGTCTAATCTGTTCTACTGCTACTTCCACATTCACTGGACATTTATTATGTGTCGGACACCGTGCTAACAGTTTTTTATGCATGACTTCAGTTGATCCTCACAAGTCTGTATGAGCTGAGTAGAACTATGCTCCCATTGGAGGGTATATAGTGTAAGTGGTAAGGGCTGCATGCTTTGAGGCACATACCTTGGGTTTGCGTCCTAATTTCACCACTTCCTAACTGTATAACCTGGGACAAATGCTGTAACCTCTCTAAGCTTCAGTATCCTTATCTATAAGATGGGGATACAAATATGGAGATGATAACAATATCTATCTCAGGCAGTTGTTCTGGGTTTCATGTGAATGCAAGTGCACAGAACATCTCCTGTCACCAGGAGGCCCTCGAATGGTAGCTACTGTGGTGTGCACGAGGAAATCAAGGCTTAATAAAGCTGAGTGATTTTTCCAGGGTCTCTAGCTCATAAGTTATAGAGTGGGATTCCAACCTAGCTATCTTGGTCAACTGCTATGCTTATGTTGCTCCACCTCCAGGCCATATATAATACCTCCTTCTGAGGGAGCTCTGAGTTGCTTGAGGGTAGGGATGTGCTCCTTCTGCCTGGCACAGTGCTTTGTTGACTGTAAATGCTCCACTGAGATTAGATGAATGGTTATAATTTAATTTAGATTTTCTACACTTATGCCAAAGTCAGGCCCAAAGCAAAATAACCACAACCAAAATAAACAAAACCCCCACCTATAGTTTTAGGCAAGTATGTCCTTAGACAATTGTCTCCAACCATGTTAGAAACACTTACCCTATTTATTTGTCAGAATACCATAAGAGAAAGGTAACAATAATTATCTCTATTTTGCAGTTGGGGAAATTTGGAAGCAGAGGAAACTGGGCAATTTGCCTAGGAACGGAAAACAAGTCACAGTGCAGCTGGGAACTGTCTCACGTCTCCAGAATCAGGATTACTTGTTCTGAACGGTCTTTCCAGGCCCAGGATGGAATGACGTGATGTCCTTTTGCCCCAGACAATGGGATGTTTTTCCTTAGCCAAGGTCCAGGGTGTGCGCCATCTCCTCAGAAGCAGGATCAAAGGAGTGGGCTGTGTTTGACTTTGCTTCTCCTCTGTGTCTGTGCACATCTAGGTCTGAGAAGTGCAGGGCACACAGGCACCATTTTTCTGACAGCTTCTGAGGGCCACAGGTATGGTGGTACTATTGCAGGGGATGTAGGACAAGCATTTCTGAAGATTTTGCCTGGTTTGGCTATGGATTTTCTCTGGAACCTGAAATACTGACTTCTTATTCTAACCATATTCCTCATTTATTTGAGATAGCGTTATGAGACCAATTGCAGGTAATCACATTAATTCAATGAAAATGTAGAGAAAGTTTTAGCTGGAGGACTATGGAAAAAAAGACTTGACCAACAAAATATTCTAATACTAAAATTGGCATTTTATGTGTCTATGACATTATCAAGTGAAATTTCTTATGGAAATTTACATTAACATAGAAATAACTTGGTTAAAGCAAACTGAATTTATCTCTTAAGTAAAGTATATGATTTATCTCTTAAAAGTAAATATGTAGCTACACAGTTCATTTGTAGGTGGTAAAGCTAGAGAATTTTGACTGTTATATTTGGTGTTTTCTCTGGATCTTATTGACCTATAATGTGATTAAAAAGATCTACTGTATTTCTTATAACTAGATAACCATTTTTTTTAAATTAAAAAAACTTTAATCTACAATGTCTTTTAAGTATGGTTTTATTTTGGGAATGTTCATGGGCAGATATCCAAACTCTTATTGTTTCTAAGGCTGTCATTTCTAAAATAGTTTACAGCTCATGAAGCTGAGGACAATAAACCTACAATAACTACCTAACAGATGGAGCTACAGATCAGATTTAGAAACTTACCCAGTGTCCAAATGTGATTGGAGAACCCTGACAAATAAAGTGCTTATTACATTACTGCATATGAACTGACCCACATAACATCAGCATTGGTCAAAAGGATCTAACAAAAGCCAATATCAAAGCTGAAGTATTTTTTTTAACCCTTGAGGGCTAGGATTCCTTTTAAGAATCTGACAAAAGCTGTGGGAAAGCTCCTAAAGTCCATCTAAAGTCCATAAATTACCCCCTCACTCAGGGGTTCCATGAACCCCTGATTTAAGGTTAAGAACCTCTGATTTAGGTAAACACAGAGAACACATTAATCAATTCTCAAGCATTGAATAGGCCTTTTTGTTATACATAGCACAAATCTCTGGGTGATATGAGAGAAATGTCATAGTTCTTGCCTATTAGGAGTCTTAAGACACAAGACATATACTCATTATCAGAAGGGGCATGATTTCCTTGAAATAGTGGAGAGCTACAGGTAGGAAGGGAGTATGGATGAAGGAAACGTGCGGTAAAAGCAGTTTCAATAATTATCTTGTCCAGGGCTTGGCCTGTGGGACCTTCCTCCTTGCTATGCTATGTATTAGTTTGCTAGGGCTATCATTAACAAAATGCTACAGAATGGGTGGCTTACTTACCTAAAACAAATTTATTTTCTCACAGTTCTGGAGGCTGAAAGTCCAGGATCAAGGTGCTAGCTGGGTTGGTTTCTCCTGAGGCTTCTCTCTTCGTCTTGTAGATGTCTATCTACTTACTATGTCCTCACATGGAATTTTCTCTATGCTCATACATTCCCGGTGTCTTTTCCTTTTCTTTAAAGAACGCCAGTCATATTGGATTAGAGCCCTGCCCTTATGACCGCATTTAACCCGAAATACCTCTTTAAGGGCTCTATCTCCACATTCAGTTACATTAGGGGTTAGGGCTTCAACATATGAATTTTTTGGGGGTTGGGGGAGATACAATTCAATCAATAACATCTCATTATCTGTCATACCTTGATATTTAATTCCCTGTGGGTCTTACACCTGGGATCCACACTTATTTCTCAGTTCTGGCTTAGCTACTGACTTCTACTCATGCAATCTCCCCCACCTCCCAGCATCATATCCTGGCCCTGAACCTTTTAAGATCTCTCAGCTCTGTCTCAGTCATCAACCCACTGGGTCAATTTCTGATGATGGGTTCTTACAGGACTTTAGTTCAGCCATCCTTTCCTAGGCTAGCCTGGTTCTTCTGTGGCTTAGTCAGATACTCCCTAGTTGGTTTTAAGCAGAGGCCTGACTTATGGAAACAATTAATAAGAGAGTACAAAAATATGCATAATATTTTGCTAAATATAATGTGGTTAATGTAATTAACTATTTTTCTAGTAATAACTTTCTTTCTTTTTTCTTTTTTCTTTTTTTTTTTAAAGAATTTATTTATTTATTCATGAGAGACACAGAGAGAAAGGCAGAGACAGAGGCAGAGGGAGAAGCAGGCTCCATACAGGGAGCCTGATGTGGGACTCGATTCCGGGACCCCAAGATCACGCCCTGGGCCAAAGGCAGGTGCTAAACCACTGAGCCACCCAGGGATCCCCTAGTAATAACTTTCAAAACAAAACAAAAACAAAAATAAAAGGAGAAAGACTGGTTAGAGTGAGATGAATTTTATAGGTCAGTCTAAGAAGTCTGGCTTTTATTTCTTAGGTAAAAGGGAGCTCTGGAAGGTTTTCCCATTGAAGGTTAGGAAGAAGAAGAAGGAATGAACATAAAATATTGTATGTAAGGGGTGCCTGGCTGGTTCAGTGGGTGGAACACGTGATTCTTGATCTCAGGGTTGTGAGTTCAAGCCCCATATTGGTTGCAGAGTTACTTAAAATCTTTTTAAAAACCCTGTATCTATCAGGGCAAGTTAAGCTGTAATAAAAAATATCCCCAAAACATTAGGGACTTACAACAAAGGTTTATTCTTCATTCATGCTACATGTTTACTGTAGGTCTACTGTAATTGTGCTATACGTTGTCTTTACTGTGGGATCCAGGCTGACCAACCAGTTCCCTTGGCTGAAGGAAAAGAAATATGGCAAACTATGCATAGTTTCAAAGCTTTTGCCTGAGTGTGACACACATCACTTCTGATCATAATTCATTGACCAAAACAGGTCATATGGTCATACCTGAGTTCAACAGGGTGAGGATGTATATTCCTTCTCCAGAGACAAGAGACCACAGGCAAGAAAACCAGAAAATGGGATAGCCCATTGAAAAAAGTATTAGGAAAAAGGAAGAGAAGAAAATAAAAGGGAAGAAGCAAAGTTAGAGAAAACAGGGAGGATAAAAAGGGGGAAGGCAGGTGGAAAAGAGAGGGAAAAATAAGATGCAGGTCTATAGGAGATACAAGTAAATAATTGAGAAAACTGGGTAACAGAAATATAATGGGTTAGATTAGGTTAGAGCAATACCAACCAGATAATTCCATGCAGCAGTAAGAATCATGCAGTAGTTTCCTAGGGCTGTCATAACAAATTACCACAATTTGAGTGGCTTTAAACAACAGAACT